AAGATATAGTGGAAGGATGCAGATAGAGCTGACACTCTTCGTTCATCGGGAAGTTGGGTATACCCTTGGTTGGCTTGAGATACAAAGCAGTCACACTCTTCCCTTGGTACATTGCAGGGAAGATGTTACTCCGTATCCTGTCGATATGTGGAGATCTCACGGCACGTCTCAAAGGTGTTGAGGTCTTCAGGAAGAATTGAATGAGATCGTCTTGTGAAGCCTGGACGTACAGCTTAAGTTGACCAAAGCGTCCTTCACATACCGTGCCATTGACAAGCATGCCCGGTAAATCACCGCGCGTATAGTAGAAATCGGTGCCAGGAGCAACATGATAGTCGTGGGCGGTCTTGCTGTACATTGTTTGAACACACTCTGCTGCCCCATCCGTAATAATGGTGGCGGCACCTGGTAGTATGGTAGGACGAGGAGATGGCATCTTGATCTTAGGCAGAGGCTCCAGATTCGGATTACGGCTAGCACGTCGCTTGTGGAGACCGGGTTTCTTTATCGTCTTGATAGCGAACGGGTCAATACCCAAACAGTCCACAACATCTTCACCAGCAACAACAGCATCAGTGGCCATCATGATATCAGTCACGAGAGATCCAGAGAGATCCAGAGGGAGAGAGAGAGAAGGCTTGAGCAACGAAACAACAAAGGCAGTTGTGAGTGAATGGAGGACTGTGCTTGCACATATATACCCTTTTGACCGCCGCCGAGTTTGAAATAACCTCCTATGGGAGGTGACGACCTTGGAGAACACGGTGAAATTGTTCAAGAATCAACCAATCAGAGGACACGGTGAGCAGATGATAAGATTTAACCAATCACAGCACGACTTGCACTTGACCTGTCGGAACATGTCTCGGTCATGACTGAACGTGTCTCGACCATGTCTCAGAACAGGTTCCCGAGAGTGTAAATCTCCAACGCATTGCTAACATTGATGACGTACTGCAGTCTTGGTAAATTGATAGAGTATGTTGGCAAGATCAGGTGGGAGAGAGGTCACGTGATCTACTAAATATTCCAGACTGTAGTCATGCCAACAATAGGCATCTATTAGAAGATGCATCATGGACAGGTCTGCAGGTGACATCAAGGACAAATTAACTTTCAGAGTGTTCAGCTGTCTAGCGGACAGAGGACCCTTGATGTGTTCCATGAGATGTAGAAGAAGCATCAGTGGAAAACATGATGGAAGAGGTTGTGTAATGCGGCTGCTTCTCAACCATGATACATTACTGCGCGGTAAAGAAGAACGCAGTGTGCGCACTGCATCATGATCCTCATGAAGTATACACGATAATGCTATTGCATAGTTCATGCTTTTATAGCTACTGGACTTCTTCATTGCTTGCAGTGCCTCTTGAACAGGGTGAAACTGTGCATGCGGTAAAGTGAACTCGATCTTGTTGAGAAAATGAACAAGATGACGATTCACACCTTGAATGCGATCGGAATCCGTGTAGGTCTTTATGCTAGTACAACGCTCTCTCCACTTTACCTCGGGCATGTAAATGTCCGCCATTACCAATCCACACTGAGAACAAACTCTATGACCAGCATGCTCAACTTGTTCTTCACGATGATAACACACTTCTTCACTTTCCTCTATCTCCTTCTTCTTCTTCTTGTCACGACGTTGACATGATGTTCAACGTCATGAGATTATTTGCAGTACACGTCATAGTTTGTGTTCTCTACCCCGGTTTGTTTCCGCGTTCCCACACCGAAGCGGGGCCGCGTGTTTATTATTTCTACTGACTCACTCGCCTCTTGGCGACTTCCTCCATGTTTTTTCCTCCTTTTTTGCTCTGCGCAAGCGCCTTGCGCTTTAGTCGTCGTCTTCTTTCAGTTCACAGCAAGAACAATAATTTTACCTCTTGTGCAGTGTCAGTCAAATTCAGTCAAATCAAGCTCTCCCGATCCCAAGAAACTGTCTGGCGTGTGCACACTTCTTCTTCTTTTCCTCCAGCGCACATTGCTTCTTTGAACGAACATAAGCATACAGGATCTCAAATTCAGAATCCATTTTCACTGCACCACAACAACTTGAAACTGACTGGATCATCATTCAAGAACACACCTTTTATACTTACATAATCATGACACCATATTACCTTATTGTTTAGGGTAGAGCATAACACCCCAATACATATTTTCAATAATACCCCTTTTTTTGAGGTAGGGGCACCCCCTGACACATATTTTATCCGCAAAAAAACCGGGCCAAACATAATTTTCACCGCAAAAATGGGGTACTATTAGTACCCCATTTTTCAATAATACCCCATTTTTTGGGACCCGGGCGCCCCCTGGCCCAGAACCCGCTCGTTCCTTACTACTTGGGTGGATGGATGGATAGGTGGACCTGCTGCCGCCGTCGAATGGTCATCGTCAGTACCGGCTGGTCATCGTCAGTACCGGCTGGCCATCATGGACACATTCACCCGTTGGTGTGACGCCATTCCTCTCACCTCCAGTGATTCTGTTGTAGCTGCCACCGCTCTGCTACATCAGTGGATCAGTAGATTTGGCGTGCCGTTGACTATCACAACAGATCGTGGTGCTCAATTCTAGTCAAATCTACTGCGACACCTCCTGTCTCTTCTTGGTGTAGCTTGCATCTGCACGACATCCTACCGCCCAACCGCCATGGTGCTTGCTGTGTACGCCGATCCCGAGACCCTTGGTCGGGAGCGTCCACCGCACCTCGCCAGCGCAGCGCATGTAGCGCCTACAAACCCATTGGTTTTCGTTTTGTCTTCGTTTTATCTTCTTTCGTAGGTAAGTGCAATGTGATAAAAATTAAATTAAAACAGTGCCTGCATCACCACTTAAAGGGATCCCTGAAGGCAGTAGAAGCAGGAGCTCATTGGTTCACCGCCTTGCCTGTGATACTGAGTATACGAACGCTTCACAAGCCCAACCTCGGCTGCTTTGGTCTACGGCACAACCCTCCGTATTCCAGGTGAATCCGTCGCTTCGTCTGAGTCGCCTCCTTCCGTGGCACCATATGAGACCATCTCCGCCAATTCATGCGGCGTCTGCACTCAGACCCGGTCCACCACTAAGGCACTATGTTGCTGCTGACCGCCCAACCTACCAGCCCAAGGATCTTGTCACAGCCAGCCATGTTTTCGTCCAGCACGACGCCATACGTCAGCCACTCCAGCCGCCACACGACGGTCCATACCGAGTTCTAGATCGTCATGCAGACAACTACCACTTGGACATTAACGGTTCTGCTAGGGTAGTTTCCCTAGATCGCTTGAAGCCAGCCTTTCTTGCCATTTGACTTGGGTTTCATTCCGTCACCTTTTCTTTCTCCTTTTTTCTTCATCTTCTCCTTTTTTTTCCTCGTATCATGGATTATCTCATTTATACTTTCTCAATCCACTGGCAGGGGAGTATTGTGGCGTTTCACACCTTTCTCACCTCTCCGCGCGCTCTTTCTACTCAACTCTGCTAGTTCTTAGTTTTTCACTCTCTTTCTGGTTTTCATCTTGGACGGTCTGCTTGGTATCTTCTACGCTCCGGTGTTCCTTGTGTGAGTAGGGGGACTGGGTTTGGTTGGCATGTCGAGCTTACGTAGTTGGTGGTGCTCCAAAAACAACCACAGTCCTACTGTACTGCATTGCATCTAGATAAGCCCATTGCGCAATCACGTAATTTGTACCATGAACACCCCACACATGTACAGGTCTGCTCTCGATATAACAACTCTCACTTGTACATAAACCTCGTTAGTACATTAAAAAATCAAATCCCGCGCCGAAACAGCATCACTCCCATACAAAATTTGTTCTACACAACATAATCCTACATAACATAAACCTCGACATAACACACGCTACGGCGGTCCCCGACGTGCGCACTCTCGATACAACATAAATTCACGTGCACGGTATGATCAAGCGGTAGCTGTAGCTAGGCAGTTTAGGCCAGTTTAGTCCTACATAACGTAAACCTCGGCATAACGCACCCTACGGCGCAGTCCCCGACGTGTACACTCTCGATACAACGTAGATTCACGTGCGCGGTACAATCAAGCTGTAGCCGTAGCTAGCCTGTTTAGTCCTATGTGCATATATTCTGCGGCATTGATGGTATCTGATGTCGATGGTGGTACAGTGTGTATATGTTTGCACGGTTGAACCCGCCTTGTAATACCCTTCATTTTGAGGTGCATCTTGTATTTTACACATGGTTTTCTACATAACATAACTCTCGATATAACATAATGTTTGCGTGGTCCCAGAGATTACGTTATATGGAGAGTAGACCTGTACACAGCCACCTGGGCATGATCGTCCGGGCCGCGGGGTGTTGAACAGTGCATGGCTGATCCCAGCGTACTCACATGCATTACTCATACCTTTCATATTTGGCAATGCGCAATGGGCTTATTTGCAGTAGGGTACACACACTCACATCTTGTCAGGCCGTGTGCCACCAGGCACTGGCCGCAAAGCTGGACTCCAGACCACATCTTTACGGGGAAGGCCTGCATTATTGCATGCAGTGAATGCCATCGGTTATCGGCCAACTGCACAATTGCAAGCCCAGCACCAGTGTCTCACCTGGGCAGTGACCTAGTGATTCGGCTACCAGGTATCGCGCACACCCGTAGCCTGTTCTTGCTACAGGAATATGTCCACTTGAACTCACCCAAAAGGTTGCTTGGTAGACCAAAGCACCCAGAACTATTTCGGTCTTCGAAAAAGACAGGTACGTGTGTGAATCACACCATGCATGCAAGGCATCGACCTGTCACACATGATACCTTATTTTCTGGAGTATAAGCCGCACACCGTGAGATGTTTTGCCATGAAATACAGACATCTACCCTGTTTATCAACGTTAATTTGACCGCCGTAGTACAAACCACCCCGCCTTTTGTTTGGGGTGAATTACTGGTGTTTCAAGTGCGGCGTATACTCCGGGGGAGACACAATACTAGCACACACTGACTGGTGACTGGCAAGGCAGCTTACAAATCCGACGATGAGGAGGAACGTGCGGCCAGTCTGCTCAACGTACGCCGGATCCTCCGGTTGATTCTCACTCACAAGCGGGCCACGACGCGACAAGAAGATCTGTGCCGGAACAACACAGCACAACGATACGATAGTGTGAACGCTGTGCATTGCAGACATAGCCATAGACTGTATGCACTACACCAGGCAGAACAACAGAGACAAAAAGCTTTCTCGTTACTCCGAGTTTCGTGTTCAAAACACTCAGACGTTAAAACATAATAATGCTATTCGCCAAGTATATAGGGTAATTGTAATGCAGGCCAAGGCAGTGCTAGGGTATTGAGCACCATTTGCAGCAAGGACTTCAGACACTTTGACTTTGCGCACTATACGTGAATAGGATTCATCAAGAACAGACATAGTTACTGTACACATTGAAGCTGGAAAGCTGACCTCAGATCACAATCTGCATGCCAACACGTGGACTGCACGGCTCTGCTGGGTACCGAAATCCCACCGCTGGCTAGACAACTGTGCCGTCAGCTGCTTTGAGTGCTTGGTTACGCCACACACCGTACGCAACGAGTACAGTTCCACGCTTGGTGTCGTCTCTCTCTCTCTCTCTCTCGTGTTCTCTCTCTCTCTCTCTCTCTCACTGATGGGACAGAACAACCAGCATGGCTTAGGGATCGGATTTCATTCGCCAGCACTCTACAAGAGTGCTGGCCATGATCAGAGCTGTATGCGGATTGAATTAAATGTGAGAATGCAGGTGCATCATTTGCTCTCCTACCAAGCCAACAAAGACATGAATACTTCAGCATAACTAAAAGAGTACGAAAATTAATAGCGGTTGCAACTTTGGCGATGACTTGTAAGAAAGGGTTTGCTTCTCGTGTGCTCTGGTTGGCAGTCGTGAGTCAGTAAGTGTCAAGTCAAGTCGGCGGAATAGCGCGAGCTCCAGTGTGGGGAGCAAACCCTTTCTTATAATTAAAAGCGGAAAAGGAAACTGTGCAGGGACAGTAGTGTTACAGTACCTCGTGCCAGATGACCAACTGCCCAAGCCGCTGGCGGGAGGACAGCTGCAGCAAGCAGTAGTAGCGACAGTAGAGCGCTAGGTCCTGCGTGTCCTCCTCGGGAACGTGACTCTCGATTAGATAGCCCTGGTCACACAGCACGGACAGAAAGCAGATGAGTGTGACCAGCCGGAGAAGATCTAGGTAACGTGCGCCTCATCGGCATAGAGCATAATACAAACATAATACTCAATCTGCGGACAGAACTGTTTCGTCCTTTGTGGACTCATCAGCGCAGCACAGAGGAAATGAGGCCGACCCTGATAGCAATGAAAAATAAATTTTCCAAAGCCAGATTTAAACCAGGCCCGACCGTATGCTCAAACTGACAAGTCAGTGAATGCAAACAGCAAAGGCACTACCCCCCCCCCCCCCCCACACACACACAAATAACATGAACTTCATATGTACTTTGGGTGTGACCATGATAGTCCCACATGTATCAGTTTGTTTACCAGATACTATGTTATAAATGTGTGTGTGTGTGTGTGTGTGTGTGTGTGTGTGTGTGTGTGTGTGTGTGTGTGTGTGTGTGTGTGTGTGTGTGTGGGTGTGTGTTGTTGGAAGCTGTTTTCTATATTTTCTAAATTTTTCTTTGTAACTAAAGGAGTCAGACAGGCAGGATACACAAGCATTGTCACGGGAAAATGTATAGCAAATGCCACAGAGGGGGGGGGGGAGCTTAATGAAAAGCATGTACGGAGACATGTTGGAACAACTGCTGAGGCGATTAAAGCCAGGTCCGACAATGTTAAGTCTCGCGTCAGTGATGGCACACAATCCCACCCCAAAGCTTAGACTCACCTTGAAGAACAAGCACGAACCGAGAATGAGGAAGGGTCGTCGCATGTACAGCACTTCATCCTAAAGCAATGGCATCACATCAAACAATAATGCACACACACACACCCACACACACAGGGAACATATAGGTTGATTGTTGCGGAGCTACCAGGGACTACAGTCCATTCATAAAAAGATGGGTCCTGGCTCTGGCGAGCTCCCGTATTTGGCGATTTTTCGTGATTTCATCGTACACAGTGCAGTGCTGCGAACTTTGAAATTTGAAAAAGGGTCCAAAAAGGGTGCCTGAACTGGGGTTCGAACCGCAGAATGCACTGTTGCAGGCGGGGTCAAACGGCCTGGATTTTGATGGTTTTTCCCAATTCAGTGCTTTTAGGGCAAAACCTGGCCGAAATCCTATTCTTGCTATGGCTTGCGTTTTGGACAAAAAAACTTCAGAAACATAATTGGAAGAGGATTCCATATGGGATTGCAGAAAAAATTCTAAAAAAACTCAACGTTTGACCCATTTATGGCCAAAAGCTAGAAGTTCATTTTTTCTGAATGGACTGTAAACTGTGCAAATGCATGATACAATAACAGGTACATGGTCTCTAAACACAGGTACATGGTCTCTAAACACAGGTACATGGTCTCTAAACACAGGTACATGGTCTCTAAACACAGGTACATGGTCTCTAAACACAGGTGCATGGTCTCTAAACACAGGTACATGGTCTCTAAACACAGGTACATGGTCTCTAAACACAGGTACATGGTCTCTAAACACAGGTGAATGGTCTCAAAACACAGGTACATGGTCTCAACCGCAGGTGAATGGTCTCTAAACACAGGTGAATGGTCACGTGCTGCAGTGGTTGCTTGGCACAGGTTATTAACTTATTACCTGTACACACAGTTCCACTGTGACATCAGCTACTTACCAGTATGCTGTGGTCGTCTGCTTCCAGTTCACTCAGCACTGAGCTGATCTTACTCTACAGGAGAGTAAGGCAGAGAGAAAACACCAAACCAACCCAGCAAGACTTTGAGAGCAGGAGTCGAGACAGCAAGCGCCTTAAAACAACCGGCTATACTTGACTCGACAGAGCCTCTTCTCTGCAAAGAACATCAGCTGGCACGCTCCCATTCAAAGCAACAACCCATACTAGAGTATATACATAATTGTTAAACCTACCTGGACTTCAAACGGTATCGGCAGGCGGTGTATGCCATGCAGTGCGTCTGTAACATGGTGGTAGCCATCCCGGTCGCGACTGAGCAGCCGCTCGAATATCAGCGAGAACAGCTGGTCAAGTCGCTCCTTGTGTCGCTTCTTTGTGAATGCACTGTACAGTGGAGAAATCACACATGTGTGCACCGGGACATTTAGGTGTGCTGTACCCACTTTGCATCAGGTCAAAGAAACTATAGCTGGTCCAGTCCACAGTAGCTGGCTGAGCCCACTGTAATTGGTCCAACCCACTGTAGCTGGTCCAGCCCACTGTAACCGGTCCAGCCTGCTGTAGCTGGTCAAACCCACTGTAGCTGATCAAACCCACGTTAACTGGTCCAACCAACTACAACTGGTCCAGCCCACTGTAACTGATTCAGCCCGCTGTAGCTGGTCCAACCCACTGTAACTGGTCCAACTCACTGTAGCTGGTCCAATCCACTGTAGCTGGTCCAATCCACTGTAGCTGGTCCAATCCACTGTAGCTGGTCCAATCCACTGTAGCTGGTCCAATCCACTGTAGCTGGTCCAGTCCACTATACCTGACCCAGCCCACTGCTGGTCCTGCCCACTGCAACCGGTCCAGCCCACTGTAACCGGTCCAGCGCACTGTAACTGGTCCAGCGCACTCTAGCTGGTCAAGCCCACTGTAACTGATCCAGCCCATTGTAACTGGTCCAGTCCATTGTAGCTGGTCAAGGTCACACCAACTAAACTGATGGCTACCACATTCATAACATGAGGGCTACACACGTGTGACGCTGATAATCGGATGAAACCTAAAGAACCGTGTTATACATGTACTTGCGATGCTGCCTCGATGTATGTGCAATCAAGTCATGTACAATGGTTCAGTTCGAATGCTGGTACAGTACATGTATCCATCCACCTACCTATGAATGGATCCGAACGTGATCGTCAGAAGCCGATCAATGTCCTCCATCACACAGTCCAGGTAGAAGAGTGGTGCACTGACAACACACACACATACATTGTACACACACACACGCACGCACACACACACACACGCACACACACACACGCACACACAACAAGAAACAACCCCCGCATAAGATAACATTGCCACTGGAGGATTTCAAGGCACATGGCACTGCCATTCTGGACCAAAATTTCTGCTAGGGGTCCATCACCTTTCAGGAAGAAACAAAGCTACACACAACAACCCCACAAGCGCAGCTCACACGTCCATGTCGCTAGTCGCTAACTTGAATTTCATGCAGTACAGTACCACTTTACACACTTAGTATAAATCCATCCCTTGGACAACAGCTTTACAAGCTGCCAGGGGTTGGATTTCATCCAGCACCACTATACACACTTCGTATAAATCCATCCCTTGGACAACAGCTTTACAAGCTGCCAGGGGTTGGATTTCATCCAGCACCACTTCACACACTTAGTAATAAGTTAGTAGAAATCCATCCCCTGGATAACAGCTTTACAAGCTGCCAGGGGTTGGATTTAACTAAGCACCATTGTACACGTGTGGAAAATCAGCCTACCTCGTAGCCGGTAGCATCAACACCATCAGATTCTCCCCGAGCTGCAGGTAGCCCACGTGGATGGGCTTGCCGTCAACGACCAGGAATGAGCTGTAACAAAAGAGTGCAACATCATACCCGTGTACAGCAACCTGGACTTGGCATGTCCATGCGTACAGTCAGTAGAGAAGGACTACAGACCAACTGCACAATAGCTGTACTAGACATATAGTGGGATTCCAAGCAAGTTCTGGTAATTTGATAATTTCATGTTTAGAGTCACTTCAGACAGTCTCAACATGCTGTCGTCCTCAAAGCTAACAGGTGTCGACCTATAGCAATCTGCTCTGCACTGCACCAGTGAGTCCACTGGGGTCAAAGCAACATGGGCTGCTGTTTGACTTCAATGCGTCACATACTGGCGAGGAGAAGGAGGCGGATAAAGTGACAATGCTGCTATTCATTTCATCACCGTTGCATGGTCCAATACCCATTCTTCATTCCTATCTATTCAGTTGTACCGTCATACAAAAGAATGAGGATTAGACAGCACAGAAGAGGGACCGTCATGCCTGTGCCGATGGGTAGACAATGACATGCATAGAGCTTATGTATACATGCATACATGCATAGAGCTTAGGCTGCAACCACACTAGGTACAAAATCACGTACAAACGGCATTACAGTAGAAATCGTCATGCCGACGCGTGCGAAATGCAAAATGCGCTTTGTAGGTTTTCAGCAACTGGCGCACCCCTGTAGAAAGTCACCTTTGTCGTTTTCGTCGTTTTCGCGCTCCACCTCCTGTGCACAACTTTGTTTTTGTACCTGGTCGTCGTACATAGCATCAGCATCAGCACTGTTTTTGAATTTCCCGGTCTTTTCCAGCGCATGGCACACGCTTTGGTACGACAACGTCACGTGCTGTTTGCGTGAAAACGTCATCTATGCAGATCGAAAAGTGTAGTGTGGTTGCGTACCGACTTGTACTGAGATATGCATGAAAATTTGTACTGTGATTTTTACGTAGTGTGGTTGCGGCCTTATGCACACAGTGCTAATACTTGGGTCCATGCCTACCTGCTAGTGCTGGTACCAGTCACCTGCTGTAAGACATCTGACAGGGTTAAGAACACGCCACGGATCGACACCAGGTGATCTATAGGAGACCACTGTGCAGACTGCCCAGTCTGCCCGTGTCGACCACCGGCACTGTCCCGCTTTCCGTCGTTCCCTTCTTCGTCGTCGCCGTTCTTCTTTGCTGCCGTTGCAGCGGTGCACTGCGGGAAATGATAGAGGATGTCCTGCAAAGACAAACCATATGCAGCAGAGACTTAGCGTCTGCTTCACTGTGCGAGAAAACTATGATTAGTACATGCGCTACAGTCCATTCTTCCAAAACATGCCCGCTGGCTTTTGAAAGCCCGATTTTGGCCGAATTGGGGCTCGAAATTCCACTTTCACAGCTGTAAGTCAACCATGTGTGTGAAAGAAACATAGTTTTCCTACTTCATGTCAATGCTCACTACAACTACTTGGCTTTACTTGTACTTCCCTACCGTAAAAGCCCCTGTACATGTATACGCCCACTCGAAATTACGCCCACCCTCCGCGTACACGCCCAGTCAGGGGAAGTCAACACTTTTGTTTCGAAATAGCGCCCATGCCCATGTATACGCCCAGGTATGCCGGAAACACCAGTACATGTACAAGTACTGATACCCAATACTTTCTGCTATCCCAATTCCAAGTATACGCCCAGGAAATCGAGGCTGCTATTCTATACGCCCGGGGCCTATACACGGGCTTTTACGGTAATTGGTTCTGATTCATCTGATGGGAAAGCATGAAAAAAAAAAGTTCTAAAGCAGTACATTATGTGGTTTCATGTGTTTTGGCCAGATCAGCACCGACCAAGGCTTGGTTGGGGCTGCATTGCAATAGCAAACATGGGGTGAATCCCTGCGATCGAATACATTCGCAATCATACTCAACTCTTTGAACTGTCGCTTACCTCCATATGCAGTGCCTCATCATTCTTTGAGCTGCTACCAGCACCACTGCCACTGCCCAGAGTTAGATACATAAGGCCGTGCAGCGCGACCTTGGGCTTGACGGCGATGTTGGGAGCGCGCGAGCCAAACTGATCATTATTGCCGCTGGCGCTGGCGTCCTTGGTGCGCGCGTTGTACGGAGAGTACTGGCGACGGGCACCACCACCGCCAGCGCCAGTGCCGCGCATCAAGGACAGCAGGTGCTGGCTGCTGGTGGACGTGCTGCTCATCTTGCTCGCCTTCAGGGACACGTCGCGCTGCACGCGCATTGCAATCTAAGCCGGCAACCAACGTGCACGCATGTACGCCCACACCACACACACACACACACACACACACACATACAGACACAGACACAGACACACACACACACACACACACACACACACAGTTACACAGTTACACACCAATGCCTTCCAATAGGTAATACCAAACCAGCTTGTTGTGAAAAGAAGAAGGACAAAATGTTACGAGTTATGACTAACTGTCCACCTACGTAACCAGATCTTATACAGTCAGCGAGTGCGACAAAATGGCACAAAACTGACAAGATGATTTCATGCAAGTACTCGTATCTTGCCACTCCTGTGTTTTAGAAACCCGAGATACTTCCACCTTCTATGCACATGAATCCAATGCACACACATATGCAATACCCTTAGCCATACAAACTCAGTGGCCAATCAAGCCATTAAAACAGGAGAACGGATTTAACGCGAGAAACGAGTAGCAAAGTAAGAAGCACTCACCTCCTTGTAAAAGGCGACTGCAGCGAGGATAGTCGATATATTACGTGTTGAGACGTTCACGCCATTGATTTGCAGTATCTCATCACCTGCATAAACATTAGACAAGCATCAAAAGTTAGGAATAACAGGCATGTATGCCATGTTAGCCTCCGACACTTCAAGCTGCGACAACATAGATCGAATACTTAAGGGGTCGTCGCAAAAGTTTTTTGTCGTCCCTGAAACGAACATGATTCATTTGGGGGGGAGGGGGTGAGAGTCAAAATCGCAAGTCGACCGACACTGTACATATGACATGTACATGCATGCGATTTTCGTCGTCCAGCATAGCAAGCTGTGTTCGTTTCAGAGGGAGGGGAGGGGGTCTGAGTACGAAATGAACATGTTCGATTCAGGGACGACAGAAAACTTTGCGACAACCCCTTACTACAGGTGAGGTGCACGTCTTCTAAAAAATACAAAAAGAAGAAGTTTGTTATATCCATGGTCTTTTGTACAATACAAAAAGAAGAAGTATGTTATATCCATGGTCTTTTGTACAATACAAAAAGAAGAAGTATGTTATATCCATGGTCTTCTAAACAAGAGAGAACCGTCGGGAAGCGCCTTGAGGAACACTGCAGAGAGGTACTAGTTCAAGCACCAGACACACAGTGGGGAGAACACTATGCACAACGCCACCGGCCACAGCAAACTAGCACCCCTACACCCATCACCGATGCCTCGATTCTCGCCATACAGTTGTCCCGGCTTGTAAAATCGTTGTACATGTATACATGAGGCAACGTTCATTCATGACAGGTGTCCTACTGTGAACAGAGTCTGGTGTGGCTGTAGACTGATGAGCACACAGTGTATCTACTGCCGTGGACATTGAAATCCGATGGGATCATGACCGGGGCCGGCGCCCTTACTGCTTTTAGCTAGTACATGCACATGTGCGATGTAGTTCATGTTCACACTGCAAAAATGGACCAGCAGTGCTCGCGGCTGCAAGGCCAGCGCCCTGTGGCTGCTTGACTTCTCAACGGATGTCAATATCCGCACACACACACACACACACACGTGCGTGTGTGTATGTGCGTGCGCATGGCCACGCGTGCACGTGTGTGCATATGTGTGTGTGTGTGTGTGTGTGTGTGTGTGTGTGTGTGTGTGCATCGACATGATCTTTGCTGCCCGCCAAGTACTCGAGAAAGCCATTGAACATCAATCTGATCTGTACGTCTTGTTTGTGGATCTACGCAAGGCGTACGACTCGGTCCCCCGAACAGCGCTTTGGCTGGTCCTGCAGAAACTCGGTGTGCCTCCGCGCATGCTTCAGGTGATCCGGTCTCTTCACGAGGGTATGATGGCATCTGTTCGAGTGGGTAGTGGTCAGTCTGACAGCTTTGGGGTGGAGAATGGGCTACGCCAGGGTTGCACCCTGGCTCCGATGTTGTTCAACCTCTACTTCTCTGCCGTCCTTGCACACTGGCGCTCAACATCCACAGTGCCTAGTTTCCCGATGAAACATCGTATCGGCCGCAAGTTGGTTGGCGACCGTACTGCCAAGCACAGACTCACAGACTTATCCGTGTCGGAGTCGCTATTTGCGGATGATGCTGCCCTGTATACCACTTCGTACGAGCACATGGAGACGATGGTGAAGGAATTTACGCAGTGTGCGTCAGGCTGGGGCCTGACTGTTAGTGTGCAGAAGACGAAGTTCTTGGCGGTCGGTCCGAGTGCCATCCGTGCTGATATTGTGGTGCCTGGGAGTGCTGGTGACGTGATCGGTGTGGTCAGCGATTTTACCTACCTCGGCAGTACGATCAGCGACGATGGAGAGCTGGATGCCGAAGTCACAACTCGTCTCGCCAAGGCATCGAGGGCGTTTGGTAGCCTCCTCCAACCAATTTTCCGGAACTCGGGTCTGTCGCTTGGAATCCGACGTCAGGTCTACCAGGCCGTGATCCTTACAGTGCTGCTGTATGGTTCTGAGACATGGACGCTGAAGGCACCCCTCCTGCGCAGGTTGGACACGTTCCATCGACAGTGTGTTCGCACGATCCTGAGTGTTACCCGAGACCAGCAGTGGCAGGAACACCTGTCAAGTGAAGACTTGGCGAAGCGCAGCGGCATGCCAGCCTCGCTGGAGGAGGCCATTCGTGCGAATCGCCTGCGATGGCTTGGTCACCTCGCAAGGATGGATGGCACCAGGTTGCCAAAGCAGATCCTGTTTGCGGAGGGTACTAACACGCGGCCCCGCCATGGACCCAAGCGTCGTTGGAGAGATGTGGCAGCTTCAGACCTGCGTGCGACCGGTATCCCGGAGGCGCAATGGTACCACCTTGCTCAGGACCGGAGGGACTGGCGCGAACGTAGCCGTCGGAAGCCACCAAGCCAGCCCCAACCAAGAGTGTTCGTCTGTGTCTGCGGCCGCGACTTTCGCCGTCCGAATGATTTATCCCGACACAAGAACTACTGCCTCGCCTAATAGCTATCATCGCCTTCGGCGATGGGCTTTCCAAAGGTCCAAAGGTGTGTGTGTGTGTGTGTGTGTGTGTGTGTGTGTGTGTGTGTGTGTGTGTGTGTGTGTGTGTGTGTGTGTGTGTGTGTGTGTGTGTGTGTGTGTGTGTGTGTGTGTGTGTGTGTGTGTGTGTGTGTGTGTGTGTGTGTGTGTGTGTGTGTGTGTGTGGTACATGGTGTGTGTGTGTATGTGTGTGTGGTACATGGTGTGTGAGCGCACGCGTGTGTGTGTATGTGCGTGTGTGCAGCCGTATGTGAACACATGCGTCTGTGCTGGCTTACCAGTCTGCAGTCGTGCTGTGCCACTCGCAGCAGCAGAGGCAGCCGGGCTGCCCGGTGCAATGGCCGTGATGACGAGAACATCCGACGTGTCCTCCAGCAACGTGTTCTCCACCGCTGCTCTCGCCGCCGCTGTGTGACGTGGTAAGTTAGGACTAGTCCCTGACGCTGCACCGTTTGGACCTGACGACGACGGCACTCTCGGTCTGCATTCCGCCGTGATACCGAGCAACCTCAGCGACATATCCCCATCGGTCTTGGCAGACATATCGCTGGGCATTTTCACGGTAACTTTCACCACTGTTTTTAGCTTGGATGTGGTCATTGTTGGCTGTACTTCGTGTGCATGATGCTCCAGACTACTACCAACAGTGGGGTGTTCACTCAATCCGGCCAGACCTGGTTTACGTTGTGGTCCGTGCTGCTGAACAGGATCACCACCAGTAGCGTGCATGCCGCTGGCAGTATTCAAACTGTTACCGTGATTAGCCTGGTGCGATTGCGCTGCGGGCATGCTCTTGCTGGAGCTTGTGTGAAACTCATTATCCACTCCGGGCCCGGATGTGCTGTGCGCCGCGCCGCCACGGCCGCGCTGGCCCGTCAAGTTCTTCCACATTGCTTTCAATTTGCTGCGCTTCTCGCCGTCCGCTGCCTGGCCAGTCTTCGCGCTGGTGCCAGCAGCAGCAGCGCCGGACGAGCTACCAGATGCATGTCCAGCAGCCGCAGCAACAGTATCCCCGCGTTGTGCCCCGCCAATAGCGGAGAGACTTAGGCCGTAGCTGAGCGACTGCGACGGGCTGAGCGGCGAACGACGCAAGCGACGCGGACCACCGTTACCGACAGGTGTTTTGTAGAGTCCTCCAGCGCGCAGTGCGCTGCCGCTGACAACGCCACTACCTGGTGTGCTGGGCTCTATAAAGAAGACATTGCCACGGTCGTCGACCTCGGAGGCCCACTGAGGATTGTAACTGCAGCACGGAACCAAATTTCGAAAACACAACAGAAAGGAACGCGGATCACACCACCGTGAACAGGTGAAAGCGTGCGCTGCACACACAGTGACATTATTCATACTCCCACCTAGCCTGGACAAAATCTAGCAAGCATGCAGATTACTGCCGGCATCAGCATGCCAGATCTGAAGTGTGGCCAGCATGCTGGAGTCCCGAGAGAAATTCATGAACCTTATGAATGGCAAGTAAAGAGGCTCACGTCGACTAGACTCAGCAGACAGCAGCAAAAGCCAAAAGACCAAAACAAGACTGTGAATAGTGTGATTGTGAAGACTGCGACACTGGTAAGGACGACGAAGGAGCTAGGGCTAGGCCGCTGCCTCTCACAGTCCGTATGGTGCATGTCAAAGCTACTTACCTTTCTTGGTCGTCAACATCGTCTTGCTCCGGGTTGGTGGCTTCGCTTGAGGCGGCCACGGCGGCCATCACTACCATCCATTCGCTGACTTGTTGCTTCTTCTGACTTCAGTTTCAATTGCTTTTTTCGAAAATAGAACTCAGTGGCTACCCTTGAATGCCGCAGAATGGCTTGATAAAGTGCCCACTGCACCGCCTTCCCAGTTTTTGTACATAACATAGTTTCCAACCCTGTTGCTGTCGACATGTCCGGTCCGTCAACGCTGCGCGCGCGTGTCTCTGTCAAACTCCACGATATCGATAGCGAGCCTAGCCACTGCGCTGCTGCCGTGCTGGCAGTGCTGCCTGTGGAAACGACCGTGTTCATGCACGTGATGAAGTCGTCAAGGCGTCGTACAATATTTTTTTCTTTCGATTTATTTGGGGCTGAGAGTTCTGTTTCGCGCGTTCTGTTTCGCATCTTTGTATTTTTGCCAATGTCAGGATAGATCTGCCTTCTACTAGCTCGACGCGCTATCGCTTCACACAGCACGGCAGGCAGCACTGGTCCTGGTAGGACCTTCTCAGGTTTCTGCAGTAGCCATAGAGAGTGCATAGCTAGCGCGGAGAATGCTCTAGCGCGCCTCGTCAGCGCTAGCGCCTCCATGATCCAGCTCCTAGCTCCACTCTCCAGTCCACCAACCCACCGCTCTGGCTCGTGCTGCGAGATCGCCGTGACATGTCGCCAGGACAGTCGCTAACGTTAGTATTGTGACAGTGTCCGTAATGAATGAAAACGATGCCGGAGCTAGCTCTGGTCGCCAGGATTATCACATAACCGCAGGCTTGAACCACTAGCGCTTGATCGATTCTCGCACTGGGCGAAGTTAAAAAGTTAGTTAGTTCGAAGGTGGTCAGTCGCTCTGGATTTATGTCAGACTGCTGCCTCATGCAAATAATCGGATTCGGGAATGCTGGGCAAACAAGTTGAGCTCGATCTGATCTGCATTTTGGCTACATCATACATGACCATCCGTGAGTCGTGTGTGTGACGTCATCAGTGGAGATTGTAGCCTAGTCTGGAGCACTCGGTGACTGTCCTGGCTGAGTGTTATCAACTGCGGTCTAGGGTTACAATACCCCCCGTCTCTCAAGGACAGTTCAGCGCAGCACGGCACAGCGTCGTTTGACAAGGATCATGGAGCCGGTGACGATCAAACGCAGCGGTACAGCCCTTCTGCTGCTGTTGCTATGCACGCTAGCCGGCGCTCATGCAGGCGGGGAAAACTCGGCGGCCGAGGAGCGCATGAACGTTCTGTTCCTTGTCGTGGACGATCTACGACCGGCCCTGGGCGTGTACGGCTATCCGGGTGTCAGCACGCCGCACATCGACAGGTTTGCGACGGACGGTGGCGTGGTGTTTGAGCGTGCCTACTGTCAGCAGGCCGTGTGCGCACCGAGTCGTACGTCGTTCTTGACCGGCCGACGTCCGGACACGACGCGTCTGTATGACTTCTACTCGTACTGGCGCCAGGCAGCGGGCAACTTCACCACGCTGCCGCAGCACTTCAAGGAGAACGGCTACTTTGCGGCGTCCATCGGCAAGGTCTTTCACCCGGGTAAGGCGTTTGTTTTGGTGTCGGGACATGTGTGTGTGGGGGGGGTTATTTATTTATTTTTTTACTACAAAGCACTGGCCAGCAACATAAAAGGGGAGGTAGACAAAATTGGCCAAGCGAACATTGTGTGTGTGTGCATGTGTGTGTGTGTGTGTGTGTGTGTGTGTGTGTGTGTGTGTGTGTGTGGAGGAGGTGGGGTATGAGTGTGTGTGTGCGTGTGTGTGTGTGTGTGTATGTGTGATAAGCGATTGCACTTGTCATTCGCTCAACTGTTTCGGTTGTGTTTGCCGTGTACATTGCACACACTGCACACATGTACAATATCCCAATGCAGGTATAGCATCTAATCATACAGATGATTATCCGTTGAGTTGGTCTGTACCGGCATACCACCCACCGACACAAAAGTACAAGGAAGCCAAGGTAAACAGTTTCCTCTGAGACAAAAATGCGATAATACTCATAAAAAGGACACACTTCAGGCTCATTACAAACATCTTGAAAGTATTTAATCCACTGTTCCTGTTCCTTTTCCCTTGCCTGTATTTCACCTGACGAGAAGGCTTGAAAGTATACTTGTGAAGACAACAACTTTCAAGATGTTTGTAATGAGCCTGAAGTGTGTCCTTTTTATGAGTATTAAAGCCAAGGTAAAGTGATGTATGTGTGTGTGTGTGTGTGTGTGCGTGTGTGTATGTGTGTGTATGTGTGTGCACACATGCTCACACACGCAGTTGCCACCACACCTGCACGTGCATGTACAGAAGTTGCCACTGAAATTCGGACTCATCCTTAGGCACAGGCACAGCTGACACCCTGACTACTGTATGCCGGCGATAGAACACATCCACCCACGGTGTACACAGTGAATGCTCCATTTCAAACCCAGCTTTTTCCATTTTTCATTCAGGTATGCTCTGGCCCTGACTCGAAGCTACACATGAACCTGCTGTGTCCTATTCGCAATATCAGTGCAATGCCCGGAGGATCCTTGCCTGACATCCAGAGCTCTGACTATGCCGTGTCGCTGCTGAGGCAGATCGCCAAAGGCCCTGGAGACCGCACGCGGAGCATGCTACCCACGGGCGATCCTGTCCCTAGGGAGCCGTTCTTTGTGGGTGTCGGATTCCATAAGCCACATGTTCCCTTCAAGGTGAGCTTAAAAACGTGTATCAAAGCTGGCCAATCTACGAGATTACTTTGCCCCCCCCCCCCCCCCCCCTACACACACGCATTTTCAGGCCTTTGGGTTCACTTGACATGGCTGTCTATAGATTGTTGCATACATGTACAAATCACCATGTAGGTATTCATGGTTGGTTGCCACCCTTCATCTCATTCTCACTATTTACGGCGAGCCAGGAGATATATAAATAAATGAATGAAATAAATAACAGAAATCTAGCTCATCTGTAGTGGGTGTGTTCGTGCGTGCGTGTGTATGTGTGTAGTTTCCTGCAGAATACCTGGACTTGTACCCGCTGGACAAGATTGCACCTCCCAGCGATCCCAACCTTCCGCTTGGCATGCCGCCGGTAGCGTACGAACCATGGACGTCACTACGACGGCGAGAGGATGTCATTGCGCTCAACGCTTCCTTCCCGTACGGACCGCTGCCTGCAGACTTTCAGCTGAAGATCCGTCAGCATTACCACGCTGCTGCCAGCTACACGGATGCCATGCTGGGCAAGGTGCTGGATGAGCTGGATGCGCTTGGTCTGCGCAACCGGACAATCGTCACCTTGATCGGCGATCACGGTGTGTGTTGTGATCTTGTGATCCTGCTAGCTCTGTTTTCTCGGATGGATTGTGCTGTCACTACTGTGTGGCTATGTGTGTGTGTGGGGGGGGGGGGGGGGGGGAGGGGCTATCATGGAGGCGGATACTGCACAATACTTATAGCAACATTTTTTAAATGCTCATTTTGTGCATACAGTGAAACCTGTCCAAGACGACCGCTCAAGGGACCTTCAAAACGTGGTCTCAGTTACCAGGTGGTCTCCTTATCCAGGGTCATTTGACTGGAAATAGCATTCGTTGGTGCTAGCTTCAATGGTCTTCTAGGACAGGTGGTTTCCGTTGGGGACAAGTGTTACTGTAGTTCGATTAGCCACTTGTAGTAGGAAAGGTCTAACGGATGTTGTTTATCTGTGCAGGCTGGGCACTGGGAGAACATGCAGAGTGGGCCAAGTTCAACAACTTTGAAGTCGGTGTGCGCGTGCCGCTCATCGTGCGAGTGCCGGGGGTCACAGACTCGCGCGAAGAACTCGCCGCACCTCGCTTCGTCAGCGAGTTCGTCGAGCTGGTGGACGTGTTCCCGACCGTAGCCGACCTTGCCGGCTTGCCCACGCCGTCGACGTGCCCGGAAGACTCCAGTAACGTACTGCTGTGCACGGAGGGTGCCAGCTTTGCGCCGCTACTGAAGCCAGCGCTCGGGGAGGATGCCGCTCCGCAGAAGTGGAAGTCGGCCGCGTTCAGCCAGTACCCGCGCCCAGCCGATCAGCCGCAAGAGAACAGCGACCTGCCGCACCTGGCCAATATCACGGTGATGGGCTACAGCATGCGCACGCTGCAGTACCGGTACACGCGCTGGATGGCATTCGATAACACCGCCTTCCGCGCCAACTGGAGCGACGTGCGCGGCGAAGAGCTGTACGCACACGCGGGTAGCCACGGCGATGAGACCGGGGAGGACAAGAACCTGGCCGGTGATAGCGGTTTTGCTGATGTAGTGGCTGAGCTGGCCGATAAGCTGCGGCGGGGTTGGAGGGCAGCGCTGCCGCCAGCACCATGAGAACGGCAGCAGCGGGGTGAGCAGACACGATGAGCTGCCCAATGCAAGGTTTGTGTTGTGCTGGTGTTAGCGAAGGTACTAGTAGAATCATACCTAAACTGACTTCACTCCCACCACAGGTCCGGTGTGCTCTGTGGCCGACCACACACACACCGGCGCTTCCCACAACAACAAGAGACATAATTATAATTCCTTTTGGCAGCTGTTTCAGTCATTGAGACATCATAGAGAGAAGGTCGAGGTGTTGAATGCTGCTGCTTACCGTCTTCCAGAATAGTTTTGCTGCAGTAGTGTATATATGTGATTTTTTATCAGTAATTCAGTACTCTGATTTTTCTTTTGGAATATATGCCGGAGTGGCCAACAGCATCGTTATGTTACTTGATGATTCACAGATTGCACCGATATGAGCTTGGAACTCAGAGTTGCAACAAGATACTGTAAAAGCAGAAATTTTCGGTTGTGTTTTATTTTTTCTCTCTCTATCTGCAGTTGGGGGTCGCTAGCAGAGAGAGAGAGAGAGAGAGAGAGAGAGAGAGAGAGAGAGAGAGAGAGAGAGAGAGAGAGAGAGAGAGAGAGAGAGAGAGAGAGAGAGAGATGGATGGAGAAAGAGAGAGGCACAATCAGCAGGCCGACCGGAACCGATCCGGTTGGTCAGGTTAGCACCGGACCAACTTTGTGGCGACCAACGCACGTTTACTGCTGAGGAGGGCATATGTCCCCACCATATTTTACACAAAGTACGAAAGACTATGGTACAACCGGACCAATTGAAAACAGCTTCTGGCGGTTCTGAGGGGTGATCCAGTCGAGTGCTGGAATTGCACTACCGATGTATCTCCCGAACAAAGAAAAGAGCGGGTTCTTTAGCTTGCACTGCATAGTCTCCCACAACACACTGTACATGGTTGACCCGAAGGGCTAAATCCAGCACACACAGACACAGATACACGGACACACACACACACTCATTGCGACTGCGTAGGCTTTGGACAACGAAAGAATCATCCCGGGCAGAGGAGATAAGCTAACTTTTTCCACAAATCTGCTACGTGCCTATACTACGATAAGAGTATTTTCGAGATGCTGAAGGTTTTGCAGTAAAGATCTAACCAGCAGTTATATAAACTATGATAGAGAGATCAGCCCGTGACGCTTGCACATGGCATATTCAGCCATGCAATCAGCAGTGACGCACTCGCACACAGCAGGCAGGAGTGGCCAGGAGTTGTTGTTAGAATATACGTGGTCAGCAGTAATTTTCCGGCAGTTCCAGGTCAGTAGGCATCAAGGCCGCGAGTTGGTCGGCCAGCGAGTGCCTTGGCCGCTTTTACTATGTACACAGTATCAGGATCCACAGCGAATAATCAAACAGAAGTTGCAACGACCGCGAGAAGGAGCAAATATAAATTATATAAATCTAGACAACAGAATATAGAAGTCAATGTCAATGTGAACGGCCGACCTACAGGCAGGCAGGCTTTGTGCTCCCCAGCATGTACAACATCATCATCAATGGTAGCAAGAGAAGACAAGGTGGAAGAGAAGACTGACTGAGAGAAAGAGCGACAGAGAGAAAGGAGGAAGGTGTATGTGTGCGTGCGCACACACAACTAAGCGATGTCCAGTTGCTGCTGTTTCTGAGCAGCCGAGCAGTCAATCGACAAGTGTGGAATGTTGACAGAAGACAGATTGCTCACCTTCTTGTTACGAAGAGCTCGCACGGCATCCGCCCTGGAATTGGAGTATGCTGGACTATCTGACCAAGATCGTTTCAGCTGCGAAGGCTCCTCTGCGACTTGAGCAAAGCGCCGCACCACATCCTTTTTCACACAGGACATTGTCTTCTTGATCATGCTGGAGTTGCTGGGTGATGATTGACGGCTATCCGGGCGGCTCTCCGGGAGGCTCTCCGGTTGGCTCTCCAAGTCCGCCACTGAAGTGGCTTCAGATATGTGCTTGAGAGGCTCAGTCTTAGTCGGTGTCAATGCTGGACTGGCATGTTCAGACCTTGTGCTCTCGTTATCCATATCTGCTATGGCAGTCCGTGCACTCGATACTTCATCGACTGCTTTCTTGGCAAGGTCAAGTGCTGTCTTCAGCTGACCGTGTAGGGAATCGATAGTGCTGAACATTCTAGTCGAAGCTGAGCCGCTGCTGGAAGAGTTTGACTTTGAGCGGATGGAGCGGCCTCGCGACTGGTTCTCCTTTATGGCATCCTGTGCGATGCCACCAAGATGACGCATCTGCCCCATACAGTTCTCTAGCACCGCTACGAGATCGCTTGACGATAGGCTCATGTACGAAGACGCCATTTTGGGCACACGGTCCTGTTGCTCTGGCGGACTCGAGTTGCGATTTGCCGACAGCGATGTGGGGGTGGCGTGTTTAGCGGTGGGAGTGGGCGTCCGCTCTGTCCGCTCCGCATGCTCCAATAATTTCGGCGAGGCAGTAGCGAGCGTTGATGCCAGCGAGACGGCATCTTCTACACATGGTCACACACACATACACACACACACACACACACACAGAGCGTACATGCACACAAACAGGCAAGCAAAATCACACATGCACACAAAGAGAACGAGACTAAAAAGACCAGGAAATCTAATTTGAACAACTAAAGCCCGCGTACTACATGTAGTGTGTGCGCGCGAAGCGTGTGGGCACAGTGAGGGCTGCGTCCCACCAGCCTGTGTACTTTCACAGGATGTGTGAGGTGCGAAGTCTGAAGAAAATGTTGAACGTTTTCCGCTGGGAGTACAGCTACACCATAGCTCAGTGGTCAGAGCATCGCTGGTCTCAATCGAAGGTCCCTGGTTCGAGTACTGGTGGTGACAGTCAATTTTTCTTCAGACTTTTCCCTTTCCATTCCCTCAACTAGTGAACTAAAGAATAGGAGGCATGGAACTTTTCTGGTACATGTATTTGAGATCGGCAAGCACAGCCCAGACCTCCTTACTACCAATAGTACATAACCAAGAGTATGCAACTCCTATCTCGAGTTGCGATGGGTTAACCCATGGCGGAATTTTTTTAAATGCGTCATTCTTTGGCAGAAATGTGATGAAGTGCGTACGCTTTCCCGCGCTTGTTTTGTGGATACGGTGAGAGTTCGTCAGGTTCAGGACACATCAATCTATCGTCCGTTGTTCTGCTACGACTACCGTAGCTGTAATCAAGAGTACATAACCCCCCCCCAAGAGTGTGCAACTCCACTATGGGTGCTGTCCCGACAGAATTTCAAGTTGACGTAATTTTGATGATGCAATGCGCACTGTACACGGATTATCAGACGAATCCGGAACCTGTGGTTGACCGAAGCCGATCGATCCTGTACAAATTATTACAAAGAAAAACGTGTGATGCGTTGACACCCGTACACATGTTGTAAATCACTGGTGCAAGGAGCATTGCGTCATAAATAATGACGTCAACTTGAAATTCTGTCGGGACAGCAGGGTATGTGGGAGTTGCACACTCTGGGGGGTTATGTACTCTTGCTGTAATGTACACATTACTTGTACTTTGATCTTTGGCTACGCATGATGGCATCAGTGAGCCAAACAGCCGCCAAAGACTGATGTCATAAAAAAATTATGCCGTGGGTGGGGGATCGTCGAGTTGCACACTCTTGGTTATGTACAGTCAGACCTCGCATAATCGCACACATCCGTTTTCCAGAAAAATATCCGGATAGGCGAGGGAACCGGATAATCGAACACACATACTGTATATGTGCATGGCATATGCTGTAAATCGGTAACCAACGATTTTCTACCGGATGGCGAGGGATCCGGATAAACAAGGACCGGATAAGCGAGGTCTGACTGTACTCTTGTTGCTACCAATCAGCTCCATACTACCATAGCCGACGCATTGAAAATTCTAAAGAAACCAACCCTGTTTAGAGCAGGACCTCCGTCTTTTTACCAACATAATAGGGGCTTGTCCAAGGTTACCAATAATATTTTCAAAACGAAATGTTTTCGTTTGGGGGTGGGTGGGTTTGATGGAGTTTCGTTTTGAAAATAATAATTATTGAATGTAGATGGAGAATGTCCAGTTACTTCTGGGTGTCGAAAATTGACATCGGTGGGTGGGTGGGGGCTGAAAAATACTAAAACCTTTCGTTTTGTAAAAACAATCGGTAACCCCGGACGGCCCCTTAGAAAGAAGTGTAAGAATAAACTCTGGAATTTCTGAAATCATTGGGCACAAGCGAATGTTTTAACATCACCAGACTTTTCCGGTGAACGTAGATCTCAATTTCTATTACTCGAGCGGTGCATGAGTTCCGTAGAAATGCTTTGCATAAAGTTTGACAAAAGGCATACGATCTGACTGGCTGCTAAAGCGACCAGAAATGTGCCGTGCTGTTCTACAAATATAGTGCTGTGCAGCAAGTAATATAGCATGGGTGCATGAGTGTGCTAAACCCAGACCGGACACTACTTGTAATTTGGGGTTATATTATATTGACCAGCATCACCGCAGCTAAACTTTGCAGAATAAATCAATATGACATATTCTTCACAAAGAAGCGTTTACAATGACATTGGCTCTTCCTGTTGTGGAGCTGGGCAGGTCACATCTCTGTTCTCTGGATGGCAGTGGTCACGGATCTGCTGGAAGAGGTATTTGGCTCTTTGCAAGGAGATGCCAGCTGGAGTGATAGGTAGAGGCAAGTGCTGAGTAGTGAAGAAGTCAGGATCAATGCCGGGTTGAAGGATGTTGATAGTTTTATCTGGCAGGGTAGACGAGCCAGACAAGAGGACATCACCAGGTGCTGCTGATGAAAACCGGAATCGCTGATATTTCGTGATGTTGGACACTGCCGTGAAGAACTCTCCCATGTAGCCGTCCCAGACTCGCCAATCCCAAGTAAACTGCACAGCTTCGTTGAAACCAACTGATGCGTCAACTGCTGCTGCTAACTGGTCAAGTGTATCAACATCAGACTTCCTGTATTTCTGCTTCAGAAATCCAAAGCCCCCATCGACAAAACACCGTGTGTGTCCGACACGCATAAACATGAGATCAATCTCATCGCTCAAACCAACAATAGTCCGCCAGCAAAGGTAAGCCATGACCGTGCGGTTCTTATTCTGACCACAGCAGTTGTCGCAATGCAAGCCAAGTTTAGGCTTGCCCTTCTGATGCTGTGAGAGATGATAGTGCAGCATGGAGACGACAGCATTGGGGCCATGGCTCTTGCTTCCGTCTGGCCCAATTGACTGATTTTCATCAACAAGGTAATTTGTTTGTTTTGGCAAACATTCTTCAGCGATACCAAATATCTGTATGCGCCTAGGTACCTTAAAATACAAGGCACCAACCTCCCGAGCATGATGAGGAATGGTCGCTAGCTGAGCAAAATTGAATGTCATGTGTTGGTAAGTCAGAGTGTTGTCTCCGTCATCCGTTGCAGCAGCTTGCTTGGCGTCGTCTATGCACTTCTTATACAGATCACGTGCGGTATTGGCCTCCTCCATATGCGATTTCAGCTCATTCGTTAGTTTTAATCTAGTTTCCTCCGTTCTTGCTCGTGCTAGTAGCGACTGCAGGTCTGCGCATCTGCCGCACACATCCTCCTTAGGTTTCATTATAACAATGTTCTGGCAGTCTCTCTTCCATATCTTCCCAAATGTGCTGTATGCAGCCTTGCCACCAGCCTTTGCATATTCCTGGTGAACAAGCTTCACCGTGGTGACGCAGGGCAAATACGTCGGTGCAGGTTTGTTGTGACCACGAGGAGCTGCGGGTTGAGGAAGGCCATGAATAGTAGCATAGTGTTCAATAAACTGTTTGAGCTCCACAACATCTTCCACTGGCAGCGCATTCCATGGAAGAGTTCCCTCATTCCCTTGCTGGGGCGGGCTGATATCGTTTGCACTAACAGCAGCCTGCACGGATTTGAGCAGCCAGGGCTTGATGCTGTGTGCATACATGAACATCCCCTGGCACACTTCCACACCATCCACTTCATAGCAGTGTGTTGAGCGTGATCTATCACCACGCTCAGCACGCTGGGCCGCTGTTCCATGATGGCTAGCCTCGCCACGTCTCCTCAGCACATCTAGCTTCCCAGCTACATACATGTAGCGCTCTGACTTCGTCAGGGCCCGCGCTGAGTTGCGCGCTGTACGCAGGGTTTCAAGTGTCACACTCTTGAAACAGTTCTTACCTGAACAGCTACAGCCCTTGTCAACCTTGTCGCGCACCTCCTCGACTGTAGTCAGTGCTTTGGCGGATTTCTTTTGGGCTGCACTCGATTTACTGCCGGCATCGAGGGGCTGGGCTGGCGGTGGAGCTGACGCCTGATCAAAGTTTTCCTCCGCATCACTGTCTAGCTCGATCAGAGATGCGTCCCGCGATTCATCGTCTGACGTCTCCTCAGCACTACTGTCATCAGAACTGCGATCTGACAGGCCGAAAAACGAATGGTCATCGTCAAGGAGTGCGAAGGAAGCCTCTGCAGAGAAGCCAACAACAGTTTGAGCTAGCGATCGTCTTCTGCTTCGTTCCGCCATGACTCTCACCTTGCGATCTACAAAAAAATCGACAGACCGTGACGTTTTGTTCATTTTCTCGAAAAAATTACGAAGCACCTAAGGTCGGTTTTCGCAGAGCGCGGGTCAATATGATACATGTCAAAATAGTGGGAGCGACTTCGGTGATGATTGTTAGGAAAGGGTTTTCAAGGTCAAGTCGGCGGAATAACGCGCTCCAGTGTGGGGAGCAAACCCTTTCCTAACAATCATCGCCGAAGTCGCCACCACTATTTCGTACTGTTGTGCCCAGCGCGGGCTTGCGACTAACTGGTTTGGAGGTGATAGCGTTGTCAATGACCGAGTCGAAGGTTTAACGGACTTCTCGTGTGCTCTGGATGGCAGTCGTGAGTCAGTCAAGTGTCAGGTCAAGTCGGCGGAATAGCGCGCACTCCAGTGTGGGGATACTACAGGTACCCGTATATGTTGACATTGTTGGTGTACCCCCAGGGGCGAATCCAGGGGTTCCGCGGAACCCCCTAATTTTCCTAAATGTACTACTGGCAACCATATGCTTGTCCATGTACATGTATCAGCTATTCAGTTTTCACTCTACTGCAACCCCCTGTAGAGATCGCTGGATCCGCCGCTGACCCCCCATTGGGCTTGACAAGTTTGCGGCTGCCGACCCAGTTGACTGTTCTGGCGTTCATCATGCCACTACATGTATGACGAGAAAGAGGGTGCTGAGAGCGGGGATGCTAACGTGTCAGTGGTCCTGGCTGTGGGCTCGTCACTATCTATTGCACTTCGAAGTACTGAGTGTGATGGGGCAGTGGGAAAATCTGTGTATGTGGGACCCGTGTAAGCTTTAGGACTTCTATTTAATTTCCTTTACACTTGATACATGTACATGTACGAATAAGTACGTAAGTTGTTGCAGCCCTCACCTTGAGTGGTACCGACCGTCTCCGTACTGGACTTGGGCGAGAGCACACTCGAGCTGTCATCAGCAGGTGACGTTGCTGTTTCTTCCTCAGTGGTCGGTCGCCGTTGCTGGTCCGACAAGTCCACGGTGTCTTGAGCGGACATCGAGCGCGCATAGTTGACGTGAGCGCGCATCACGTACGCCTTGATGTTCTTGCTGTACGACTGGCTGGTGACGGTGACAGTGCCGCCCTTGGAAGCGGCAATGGCGTCGGAGATCTTCACTCGCCACTTCTCGCTGGCGTCCGACGAGGCAGCCGACAGTTCGTACATACGGGAACCCGACGTTGTCAGCCAGACGAGCAGGAAACTCTTGCGCTCCTTGTCGGACGCGACTTCCCGTGGCGGCAGGAGATCCTTGAGCGTGATGATTGGCGTGAAGTCTTCACGAACCCGAAGGTAATACCGCGACTTATCCTCATTGTGCTCCAGCAGGACGACAATATCGGGAAAGAGGATGGCGTCTACCGTCACTAGCTTGCCCTTCATCCTCCACTTGAGCTCGCCACGATGGATGAGCTCTCGGCTTGAGATGTCCAGAGTTCGGAACGGTGCCAGTGCTCCCGTCAGACGATCCATGTTCTTGAACTCGATGCGCGACTGCAGCTCGAAGAGCGTGCGATTGTTCTCGAACTCCATCACGTCCTGGTTGATCTGCTCTAGGATGCGGCGCGACAGGTCGATGGCCTTTGTCAGCTGGTCGTACTCGGTCTCCTCTTGATCCGTGACTTTCTGGATACTCTCCAGTAGCAGCGGGTACTTGGTGAAGCGCTGCATCACCACGCTCGTAAGGTCAGCCAGCTTCAATCGCGTACAGCTCGGATTTGCCTCGCATTGCTGCAAAAGACACCAAAATCACCACACCAGGCCAAAAAAAAAGCAGAAAACAATGCGGGCGTGAGACAGACACACAGAGCATAATGGCGTATATGGGCAGCGCTCACATCAAACAGGCTCAACAGAGACCCTAGATCAGCCCAGACTTTGCTCCTTTCCTTCTCCTGGTCGCATGCCAAGATTGCAGGAGTGCAGACCAGTAGGAAACTAATGAGGAGCTGAGGTTTCATGGCGGTGCGCTTGACATGCATTGATCTCATCTTGCAGTGTGTAGTTTTAGCTCGGTAAGACTCAGCAAGCCCTAAGTACATGGTAACCACTGGCAGTCGCAGCATACAGGGAGATGACACGAGATCACAACACAGTACCAAAAACGATGTGCTTTTTCACCTGTGATTCGGAACTTCTACGTGATCCGTGGTCTATGCAACTCGTGATTGCGGCGGTGGGGGCTTGATCTGCTGACCCAAGACAAGCGACACCATATGCGAACGTGTATAAATCGGCCCTGCCCCAAGGGCAACTGTAAAGGCAGCCCGGGGTTGTATCTCATAACTATGATCAATTTTAGTGCTGCAGTTGCCCGTGTTTACTCTCTGCACGCTATGCCTCCCTTACGATAACAGATGAGCAGCCAGTAGATCTACAGTAAATTTCTCTAAATATCATTGGCGTTCGGTGGCAAATGTTGCCGACCCAAATCGCAACCATTGGTGTATCATTACTCTTTGCATGTTTGCGTTGACGTGCAGCAGCAAGCTGCTAAGTCACAGTTTTGCTTGTGTCGCATGCCTGGGACAGTAGAAGATATAGCAGAAAGGAAACCACGTGCGGAAATATACAACACAAAAAAAGAAATTCCCTGCAACACAATTGTTACAAATAGACCGAAGTTGGCGCAAGTAGAAAGTGGTCCCCCCCCCCCCCCCCTCACACACGCACACACAGCCATTGTTTGTGTGTACACCCCCCACTGATTATGCCCTTCGCTCCCACACGGCATGCCCGCTTATTTCCTGGGTCTGTGATTCTAGACAAATACTAATACACAGGGGCGTCGGATACGGTACGGTCACTACGGTATTGACCGTACCACTTTTTGCCCCAGGTACCCCGTGAATCAATAAAATACACTGATCTGGACTCTAACCCCCCCCCCCCAACACCCGCACAACAAGGTATTGCCTTATGAAAAAAGGTTGATGATACTTACAGCCATGAGCTGACTCAGCTTGGGCTGCTTGGAGGAGAACTGTTTGATGAAATCCAAGTTGACCTGGCGTAGCTTTACCCACTCGGACGCCGCTTCCCGACTCTGCTGGCCACGCTCGCCGCTGAAGAACTCAACGAGCACAGCACCGATATCCTTTGCTTTGGAGTGGTCCTCGCTATCCAAGCAGGCCTTTAGCCCATTCATCAAGTCTACATGGAAATCCATCAACAGCTCTAGACTAGGAAAGAGTGCATCAACGAGCTTGCTGGGGAACAACTCTGACTGCATTAGTGTCCGATAGAAAATGTGGAATATGACTTTAAGCTTTTTTACGTGCGTTTGCTCGGTGTGCACCAGTTCATGGCACAGGTCCTGCTGCTTCACATCTCTCCTCGACATGTCGTTGATCGCTTCCGCCGGTGTCCTAATCGACCATGGCACGAGGTCTTCGTCCACGTTCAGGTCTGGATCATTCACCGGCGACGGAACAGAAGGTGTGTCGTCCCTGCCGGCAAACGGCGATTCGAGTTGGCCAGTGTCTATACTGCGGCGAGTCCCAGATACCAATCCGCTGGTCTGCGTTGGGGTTTGTCCCACTGACTTCCCTTTGTCGTTGGCATTGCTCACTTTCATCGACTGGGCGCGCAGGATTTTCGTTGTCGTCCGGGCCAGCTCGGATGAATTCGTGCTAGCACTGCTCGGGCCTCGCCGAAGTCCGTAGAAAGTCGATGATGAAGTGCTTGCCGCGGACTGGGAACGCTGCTCCGAGTATAACGACGACCGATCGATGAGACCAGAGTCTATTGATGCGGTGTCACTAGTTCCAATGCTACTTGCTCCGACCGAGTGCAGCGGAGTAAGCATCCGCTTGTGGGAGCCCTCTCCGTCCAACGGCTCACTCTCCACGGAGCACCGCGACGAGCTCGGGCGGACGCCTTGCCGGAAGCTGCCGGAAAACGACGGCTTAAGGCTGCCGCGTCGGAACAACGAGCCGGCGCCCTCCTTGGGCTCGCCGCGGCAGTACTCGGTGATGCTCTGGTTACACGTGGCCTTGTGGACGTTGTAGTTACACAGCTGGCACGTGTAGCCCTGATTGCCAATGCCCCACAGCAGGCCGTTGCAGTAATCGCAGAACGTCGGCGAGTTGTAGTGCGTGGCGACGAAATTGTGGCCGACGACAATGTGCACCTGGTGCTTGCCCTTGCCGCGCGTGTAGAGGGCGCTCGACGGCGATGCCCCAAGCACGCCCTTTTGCTGCAGGTTGGCCAGCTTTTCTAGGAATGCACTCTTGGAATCTAGGCCCATGGCCAGCGCCATGGACGTCAGCAGCATGGCGTAGGCACCGTCCTGGTTCGTGTACGCCGACTGCGGAATGATCGTGCTCAGGGTCTTCTGCGTGATCTGGTACTCACTGCTTTTGTCCAGGTCCTCCTGCAGTGTATCATCGTCATCCTCAGCTTTCAGTGTCTGCCGATACGTTTCAAGCTGTGCACTAATTCCTTCAGCCACGTCCAACGCGAGCGAGTTAAACAGCACTGTTGCTTCCTCTATGGTTAGGTCCTTCTTGCGATAAATGGTCTCAACCTCCTCTAGTTTTACGGGATCCACGGCCATACTCCACGGCGAGTTCTGAGAGAGGAACGTATGGATCACACTCTGCGCCTGACGCTTGGCACCCTTGCCATCCACCAGACCTTTGGTTATGTGATAGTACGAGCCACATCTCAGCAGGAACAGAAGCGGAACAGTCGCCTCGTAACCTTTGCTCTCGTGAAGATGTTTGAGAAACATCGCCAGGTACGCTGGCCTCTGCACCAGCATTTCAAGGGACTTGAACGGGTGGCTTTCATCGCACTGGCTGACATCGAACTGAAGAATCTCGTCTACGAATTGGCCCACAACATAAAGGGTGTAGGGCCTCGATGTGGGTACGGGTGTGGGTGTGGGTGTGGGTATGGGTTCTCCGCCATTGGGGAGGGGGCCCTCGGCCATTTCACTCACTCAGCTTGCTGAAGTCATCAACCCTTCCCCCAACGAAGCCCAAACAAGAAAAGTCTACTGCGGTGGAGGTCCACGGAAAGGTGACAGGCACTACTACTTTCGACACCAACTCTCCAAACAAATGTAGGTTGACAGCAAAGAAGTGAAAGACCGAACTGTCCGAAGGGACTTTTCTTGAACACGATTATTGACAATGCGGTTGTTCCACTGACCGGCTCATGAAAAGAAATCCGACCAAAGAAGCGTTTGGTTGTTTGGGCGGCACACTATGACAAAAAACGTCAACTCGGGTGTTTTATTGGCTAAACCTCCTGTGAAACCGCGTGAAGCTTGATTTTGTCTCATGCGCACAGACAGTCACGATCGATCAGGGCAAGCTGCCTAATGCCGACGCTAAAACGCTCCCTTTCGAACTTTACCCTGGCCAAATTTATCACAAATGCTCCGAAAACAGATTTCATTCGATCATGACAGGGAAAACAAAGGTGTGGCAGTGTAAACTCTGATCGATCATTGTGCTGTTGAACTCCTACTGTCCCAGCTCCTGTCGTCCTGGGTCCTGTGCTGTGTGTAGAGGATTGAACTAAACTAACTTTTTGTTACTTCCTTTGATTTCGAAGCCGAGTATGGATGCACATAATGGTGGCAGTGCACCGACGCTTTCTTCTTCTTCTTCCCCTTGCATCTTTCTCGACCACAATGTAGCCAGCTTCCTAAACACGACCATCCCGGCCATACCGCGTCTTCTTGCCAATCTTGGTGGAGGGCTACCACCATGCTGCATTGCAGACTCTGGCGGCCTCAGGATTAGGGTCGCCTTGAACCTGTGAACAGAGGGTAGGAGACGTGTGCTTGAAGTTCTGTGTACTAGTTGTAAGGTCACTGTTTTCGAACACAGTGTCCTCCACCTTGTTTCATGCTGTCAATCTAACAATTTTTAGTAGTACAATGACTATGGAGCAGTATTTTTAGTTTGATCTCTTGGAAGTCGCGGGTGTTCTTGGAACGGTGTACTCAGCAGGGTATTCTTTTTACCCATTTTATTTTACGGTGTCGGTCGATTCTGAGCTGAGTGCGATTGCTTGTCTAGTCTGCCATCGAATGTGCGATGGACCGAAATCTTCCTCTAGATTGAAGTTGTGTTTTATTTGAACTGCTTTGAGGTGTTTGTACGAATACATGTACCGGTACATGATGTACTGCCAAATTGCACAAGTCGTACGCACACAGTCGAGTCGGTACTATACTCTCGGGTGCTACAAGTATTATTAATTTTTATCTTTGTTCCTGACATGGCTGGGAGTGGTGTTTTACTACTCCTGGGTTCCTGGTCTGGACTCAACCGCACCGCAGTACATGTGCGAAGTACAGGTCTGCTCTCGATATAACAACTCTCACTTGTACATAAACCTTGCTAGTGCATACAAAAATCAAATCCCTCGCCGAAACAGCATCACTCCCATACAAATTTTGTTCTACACAACATAATCCTACATAACATAAACCTCGACAAAACACACGCTACGGCGCGGTCCCCGACGTGCACACTCTCGATACAACATAAATCCACGTTCACGGTACGATCAAGCAGTAGCTGTAGCTAGGCAGTTTAGGCCAGTTTAGTCCTTCATAACGTAAACCTCGGCATAACGCACCCTATGGCCCGGTCCCCGACGTGCGCACCCTCGACACAACGTAGATTCAAGAGCGGTACAATCAAGCTGTAGAAGTAGCTAGCCAGTCTAGTCCTATTGTGCATATATTCTGCGACATTGACGGTATCTGATGTTGATGACGGTACGAGTGTGTATATGTTTGCACGGTTGAACCCGCCTTGTAATACCCTTCATTTCGAGGTACATCTTGTGTTTTACACACGGTTTTCTACGTAACATAACTCTCGATATAACGTAATTTTTTGTGCGTGGTCCCAGAGATTACGTTATATGGAGAGTAGACCTGTACCAGTATTCGGATCAGGCCTAATTCGTATCCAGTACATGTATGCACACATGCATATAAACTCTGCGACATTGAAGTCTCGGCAACATGTAGTGGGGTCAATCTGGCAGTAGAATGTTAGATGGCTGCAAACGTACATCACCCAGGGCCAAACAGTACACAAACACACAGTAACCTGGACAAGAGGTCAAGCAGGGAGAAGTACAATGTACTGCAAGACTAGTACTCCCCAGGCCAAAATGTTCTACAGTAGTCGCGAACCCAAGAACGTTGTTTCCAAGGGGCTACTAACGGTTAGCCTGGGACATTCTTATTTTTCAGCAATCTGGCTGCGTTCTTATAGCACGTTCTTAGAAACAATCCGTACGGGATCATAATTAATATTATGTATCCCACAAGCTGCCAGAAAACCAACACAGCCGTCCTTGGCTTTAGGCTGTGGCGTTCTTAGAATTTCAGGCTGGACGTTCTTGGGATCCACATTCTTCAGCGCGCGACTACTGCACATAATTATGGAAGAGGAAGGATCCATGCGGAAAATATGTTGTGTCACTCAAAGTTTTTCTCTGATAATACTCCATGCATGTTGTGTCAACTGGTCGGCACTGCAGTGCCACGTGTGTGTGTGTGCAAGTACAAGTGTGTGTGTGTGTGTGTAACCCCAAGAGTATGCAAATTTGATCTCTGAGCTATCGGTGCTGCTGTCATTACACAATAAAATGACACTCAACTGGATTTGTTCCTACGGTTCAGGCACAACGGCGCCAATCACAATGTTGATAACCATGGTGAACATAAGCAAGTCAAATAATTCCGCATGGTACATTTTCAAACGAGTATGTATCTAATATTGACTGAGTACGAGGTCAATATAGGAAATAAAAGACCTCGTAAAAGACCTCGGTCTTTTACTCGGCTTTTATTTCCTATACTGACCAAGTACGAAGTCAGATTTATCACGACTAGCCAAAGCCTGTGTTCAATCGCTAAAAAGGAATCAAATATAAGCGGTCAATATAGCCCTAAGGCGAGACCAAAATAAAATCGAGATTCCCGGGCAGGACCCATCTGAAATTGGTGCGGGTGGGCGAATTTTTATTTTTTATTTTTTTTCCTATGTGTATGCATAGCATGCTGAACTTTTTTTTACAGTATTTTCCGATATTTATTTTTTATTTTTTACAGACGACAGGTATATGGTACGTGGTCTACCGGTACCCGTACAATTAATTTCTTTTGTATTTCGGCCAACGACAGCCCTGAGTCGTACACCAGGGAGTCGTACAAGCCCAGGTTTGTGTGACACCATGTCACAGATCTACTCGCACGATCAGTACTGTACAGAATACGACTGTTCAAAAAAAAATGCCTTCGGCTCGATTTTGGTGCGGGAGGGCCCGGGAATCTCTATTTTTTTTGGTCTCGCCTAAGGAGTCAAATATGCAGGAATATTTGACTGCTTAGGTATGGCAAAAATCTATGGGAGTCAATACTACGGGAGTGATAATGAACTATACTGTTCAAACTAGCTACTCGCCGGACTGCCAGCTTGTACGTTATAACCGATAAACCGACTGTCGGCGTAGCAGTTAAACGTGAAGGTGAAAACCGTAGCCGTTTGAGCCCTAAATATGACCCCTTGTATGTACTTTCCACAGTAAAGAGGGGTGATAAAAAGATGCAAAACACACTGTTGCATCACCGTCCCAAGGTCCAACAATACACTAGTGTGGGTTGTTCAATCAGAGTGAATCCGACAATGTATATGCTAAGTGCCATTAACCCTTTGGAGCTCATCGTTCGAATTCGAACGATGCCAATGTCATGTGTGCAAGTGCACTCAACGAGTCACAACTCAGTCAAATCTCAACCGAATTCAACAATCGAAATGCCTACGAGGTAGCAGAGAATCTCAGCTGTCGGCTCGAAAAACTCCGGGGTCGATACGAGCTAGTATAACAGAGCGGCAAGTGCTCGAAAGTTCGCTCGATTTCTCATGCGTCAGCGAAGTGCAAATTTCGTTCAAAAGTGGGATTTTCCCTCTTCCTGCCCACGCAGCGTGTGACATCACTCCCAGCGCTTTTTGTCACGGCTTTTGTGAGCCTGTTAGAAAAAATTAGAATGATTTTGAGCTAGCACGAGTGAAATGGCGAGACAAGGACTATTCCCGTTTTGGATTTGGTATTCAGCTAGCGTTCCTGGCATTCGGTAGCAGACAGCAATCGCTCTCCTGAATGAGTTTGGGCTCGCTGTTATCCTCGTTCCAAGAGCTTTCCAACGAGCCCAAGATCGTCAGAATCGGTGAAGTAGAACCAGCGTTATGATGGAAATTGGAACGAATATACTTGCAATTGCAGCTATCTCCTGACGTCGTGTGATCAGTGCAGTTCCAAAGGGTTAATCACACAATCGTTACTCTGAACTAGCCTGGAGTTGTCCATTTGTCAAACACGTATGATAGTCCGCATGGAAAGCATTATGGATCCGGATAGCCAACAAAGCTTGAAGGTGGAACGAGTACAACAAAAATAAATTAATAATACAGTCAAGCAGCTGAGCCTGATGGGTTAGGTCCAGTACAGTCACAATTTAAAAAAAAAACAGGAGATCCATCACCACAACACAAACAGTACGACACCAACACTTGGAAAGCAGGGGGGGGGGGGGGGGGGGCAGCTTACAGAATAGTTTGGCAATAATCAAGGCCAGCTTGACACAAACAAGATGGGAGCGAAAGTAACAAGGCCTGCAGTGGACAGCCATGTGGAGAGAGCTGAAACACACTACAAGTCGAATAAGAGCATGTCATCTCACACTGCACAGAAAATACACTCTCGTTCTGGCTCAAGACAAGTGGTATAGTATCGTTAGTAGATTCAATACGGTTACACAAGGTACACAGAGCTAGAGGTACGTGCAGGGTCGCCAAGGTTCGGAATGTTGGCAGGCGTACAGGTACTACCCCTCATGTGTACGTGTCTGCTGCTGGCACTGAGAAAAGTCTTGAAAGAGGACAGGCCAGCCGGCCAGAGAGCCTTTCCACAGCCCTGGAGATCATCTTGTGGTCAGCTTGCAATGGTGCCAGTGCGGATTACCCATACAAGGAGTGGACAGTGGTGGCAGAGAGCCGGAAAGGGGTGGCAAGTTATCCATATACGGATGACATGCATATACAAGTGGGCACTTTCACTACCTCTGAAAGGCTCTGATGCCACCCACATAACCTCCAGTTCTACTCAAGCACACATACCGGTAGATACTGATTGCATCGAGAATTTGTCTCAGTTTTTGACGGCACCATTAACGTTGTACACAAGTTGGGGGCCGCGACTCCATGATTATGTCGGCACGCACCGTCATGCAGTACGGCCGACCAGCGTCGTGCCACACCAGAACCTTCCAACGCACACAGAGACACGCAATCGGTCCCTCCGTTCGCTGATGTCACAAGAAACCGGCGGCGCGACATCAACAGCACAAGCAGCAAACGAACTAGTGTCGTCACCGCGTGCTAGTCTCCAACGGTCCGGTGACATACTGTGTGTAGCTCTTGACACGAGAGAAGATAGCTGGTGGGTAGAAGTTTCCCAGTTGGAGATCATCTCGGTAGACCAAACCGCGTTGCCTGAGCACAATGGTGACAAGACGCAAGAGGAGAGAGAGAGAGAGAGAGAGAGAGAGAGAGAGAGAGAGAGAGAGAGAGAGAGAGAGAGAGAGAGAGAGAGAGAGAGAGAGAGAGAGAGAGAGAGAGAGAGAGAGAGAGAGAGAGAGGGAGGGAGCATTAACAGTCTTGAGCAGAGATACACGCTGCAATCTGATTCCCCACATCACCATCACCGACCGCACTAACGTTATACTGCTAGATGCACACCAATTGATTATCGCAGTGCTGGCCATCACAGGGTGCAATACAAAATCGTTTACTTAGTTTCGCCTCTCCAGTATGTGTGTGCGGGTGTGTGTGTGTGTGTCTGCAAGTTGCTATGGCTCCTGCTCAAGCATCGCTGTCATCGCCTCCGGCGTTGGCCGGCAAAAGGTCAAAGGTGTGTGTGTGTGTGTGTGTGTGTGTGTGTGTGTGTGTGTGCGTGTCTGTGCGGTGTGTGCGTACATCCGAAGAAAGAACATCCCACAATCTACTTACGGATGCAAGCTTTCGTAGTAATAGTGGTCCCAGACAAGACGATTGAATGGCTGGCGTTTTGTTGCTTCCAAATGCCAACCCTGAAACAAGCCCAACAACCATTCAAAGTGGAGCTCTGGAAATGATAAATACAATAGGATACTGGAACAAGACAGTTCAGTTTGATGTTCAACATTTTCCCATACTCTCTGTATCAACCTTGGAAGAGGAGGGAACGAAAACGTTCAGTTCTGTAACTTTGGCTTAACAAGACTGGTATGGATTAGGTCGATGCATTCACTACTTTCGAAATGGAAACAATACAGACTAACATTAAATGTTATCCCCCTCCCTTACTCACTTACTGACATCAAGATTACATAATTATTAAACCAAGAGTGTGCAACTCCTATCTTGAGCTGCGATGGCTTCACCCACGGCGGAATTTTTTTTATTGCGTCATTCTTTGGCAGAAGCATGACGAAGTGGGTCTCCTTTCCCGCGCTTGTTTTGTAGATACGGTGAGAGTTCGTCAGGTTCAAGACACATCGATCTATCGTCCGTTGTTCTGCTTCGACTACCGTAGCTGTAATGTACAAATCATTTTTACTTTGGTCTCTGGCTACGCATGATGGCATCAGTGAGCCAAACCGCCGCCAAAGACTGATGTCATAAAAAAAATTCCGCCGTGGGCTGGGGGATCGTTGAGTGGCACACTCTTGGTTATGTACTCTTGCTGACATGTGACATGCACATATGATGAAACTGCCCTGTTGTTTGGAGGTATGGTTGTGTCACGGGTAACCTCCATCAAGTTTCTTCGACATTTCACTACAAGCTTTCCTGCAGCCACCAGTCTCCTCTTCTGCAACCCGTACGCATTTGCGATTACTACTAGCCTCGGATTAGGGATTAGGCTTCTTGCACAGCGCTGCACAGGTCTTGACCCCAGATGGCCAGGCTGTAGTATACGACGGCTTTATCCGACCGGCCCCTGTTGATGACGTCACTAGGGCAGTGCCTATACACAGGTCGTGTGTGTATACTGCCCGCATTGAAGAAAGAACTCAGTTTCCGGCACTCCAATACACTTCTTCCCAAATTCATAGCAACGCACGTGTTTCTTACAGATAATGGAACGTCAGTCCGCTCACTTCAGCATGGAGAGAGTTACCTGGTTTCTCATGCACACACACACGGGCATGGGCAGTGGTTCTGTGTAGAAGAAGTACTACCCTTCACAGTTTTTGTAGTGGTGTCATCGACAGGGCATTTTCGCAGGGCTGCACATGCTAAAATGCAGGCTCTGCCCAAATGGAGAGCAATATCCTTTTTCGATTCTGACTGAGGGTGATGTTGGCCGATGGTGGACCCATACAATATTCCTGGGTGGAGATTAGTAGTTCGTGTAAGTTACCCTACCGCAGGTGACACGGCGAGATTCGAATGTGGCTACAGTACTGTCGGTCGCCGAAGAACGGGGGGGGGTCAGCCACCTAGCCTAGACCGTTCTTATTTTCATGTATTACAGTCTGTGCACGGTTGAGTCACCCCGTATACATTGGGATGCTGTGCTTGGTAAAATTCTAGCCTGATCGTTCTTCGGCGCCCGACAGTACTATATGCATTTTGTGTCAACGCTCCAGCCCCTACCATGTGGAAGATGTGACGCATGACGTCATTCCTATCCTGTTGCTGGCCAGCACGGCGTCTTCCGCTGGCAGCGGCGGCGCTGTGATCAGACGGCCGCTCCACCGTATAAGTACCAATGATCTGAACACACAACAAACGACACACCAATTTTATGTACTGTAAAACACGATATTTTCGGTGTAACGTTAATTTCGGTGATTTAGGTAGAGAAACCAGTCACCTAAAATTTAGATTGCACCTAAAAGGCACCAGGGTATGCACTGCATGTGAATGGAATGCTGGTCTCCTAATTCTACACTACACCTGAAACCTGGCAGGTCCCTGATACCGAAATTTGAATACACCTGAAACTACACACCGTGAAACCTGTCTAAGACAGCCGCTCAAGGGACCTTCAAAACACGGTCTCTGTTGCCAGGTGGTCTCCTTATCCAGGGTCATTTGACTGGAAATAGCATCCATCGGTCCTGGTTGCAGTGGTCTTCAGGAACAGGTGGTCGAGTGGTCGCCATACCAGGTTTCACTGTATGTGCTAGTGCAATAAGTAATTACGAGTGTGCTCACAGTGTGCTCACAGGGTGCTCACAGTGTGCTCACAGTGTGCTCACAGGGTGCTCACAGTGTGCTCACAGGGTGCTCACAGGGTGCTCACAGTGTGCTCACAGGGTGCTCACAGGGTGCTCACAGTGTGCTCACAGGGTGCTCACAGGGTGCTCACAGTGTGCTCACAGGGTGCTCACAGGGTGCAGACCTTGGCCATAAAAACGCACGCACGTCACGTTAGCCAGTTAGTTGTGGAACGCCAGTACCGTCGGTCAGTGTCGTGCAGTGTTATCGCATGAGCTGATTGTTTAGTAACTGCTGGTGTTAGTGGACAGTATAGCGTAACTTGCAGTTCCTTGGTCCTTTCTCTTTTGCACGTCAATACAGTAATAAAAAATAAATAAATAAACACCGGCTGAGTAAACCTGTCCAGTTGGCGCTGCTCAGTACCTTATCTCCCTGTATGCAGTAGGTACCGGCATAGGCATCGACGCCAGGCACCGACACGGTGCCGGGCGTGAGCTTGCCCACGACAAGACGCGGATGCTTGGAGCCGCAACCAATAATCAACGCACCTGCAGCAGTGTGTGTGTGAAGAAGAACAGTGCAGAGCTTTAGTGGGGAAAGAACAGCGCAGGGCAGTAGATTGTGAAGAGCCGGACAGCTGTAATAATAAAATTTAATACTGCAACGAGTGTGTTGCTCCCTACATGGGAGCTCGCGGTTTTCCTGCCAGGAAATCATTATAATAATTTGCAACTCGTTTAGAATAATGGCTTTTACTTAGTTTTACAGTTTTACGATGGCAGCAGAGCCAGTAGATGCATACATCGTTGATCAGGGTGTCAAAGATACGATTGTATGTCACTGTCAGTCCATGCAAGCGCTTACCGTCCACGAAGAAGCGTATATAGCGGTAGTACACAACGGTGTGGTACGGCTTGTAGAACTCATCCAGCGACTTCTCTCCACTACGATAGTACATTGTGGAGCTTACATAACAACCTGGGACACGGATTAACACACACACACGTAGACACACACACACACACACACACACACACACACACACACACACACACACACACACACACACACGTAGACACACACACTCACATACACGGTGCATGTTGTCAGTCTGATCGACTCTCATGCAAACCAAAAAAAGTTATTCAATGTGTCGCATCCCTGCGCTCAGTGACCGGACCCCGAAATCACGAGCGGCGACTGAATAGACGTGTGGCCTCATGACAAGCCCAACACAACCCAGGGGCCAACCAGTATAGTTGG